ATTGTTAATTAGGCATATAACAAAACAAATTGTTGATAACTTTTAATTCGAGCATGTTACCTCATGCAATTCACTTTGAACCCATCTCAAGTAAAGTTCATTAACCTCAGTGCTTCTAGAGAATTGCCATCACTGACTCTTTAAGCTTCATAATCATTCATCTCAAACAAGTTGCAAAAGAATTATACCAAACAAATTAGTTGAGCAACATAGGATTAAAAGAACGAAACAAAAACCATTTCTTGTATGGATGCAAAGATATAAGATATTTTGAACTACTAACTAAAAAGAAAAAGGGAAAACTATAACCGTGTAGCAATGTGATTCATTTCCTAAGTCAGGGGGTACACAATTTGAAGCTATTCAGGAACCTTTGGTGGGTGATCAGAGGGGGTTTGAAATTGATCTAGTCAATCTAAACCAGTTATGATAAAAAAAAACTGAGAAAACTGTTCATTCTAATATTCCATTCACATCCACTATTGTAGATATTCCCACTATTTTATGTGCTTGCAAGTCAATTTTACTTCTTCCACACTTGTAGATGTTCAAATCTCTTTAACAACAGTGCCAGCTGTATGGCAGTATCCATTGCTCGAGATTTACAAGGCTCTATCCTCAAAAAAGAAAATAAAAGGTAGCCCTTTGAAAGTAACATAATTCCAGCAATACCTATCCCCATTTCTCCAAGAAATAAAGTTTACAAAAAAAAGAAGAAGAAAAATGCTTCTTTTCTCTAATTCTTTAGAACCCAGGAGACCAAAAAATGAAGTACCAAATGTAGATACCTAAAAAAAGAGTTAATCTCTTGTCACGACTAAACAGCTACAAAAAGCAATTTAACATTACCAAAAGCCATCATTATGAACAAGTTATCTTCTAATTACCATAAAGAGAGAGAAAATTAGGAGAAAGAATTTCTACCCAAATAACACTAAGTGAGCAACACAGGATGTTTTTCTTTTATGTTTTTGGGATGTGAAGTAGGAAAAAAGAAAGGCCCCGAATAGATTTTCCCAACTAACCAGTCTTTTTATACTGAAGTCAAAAAGTATCACTATTTAAAAAAAATAACCATCAAATATCATATTTACTTCTCTATTAAGACATATATGCTTACAAGACCTCCCAAATATTTAGATATTTCATTCTAAACATCATGTAGTTTCTACACTTGACCACAAAATTTCTCAAAAGTTTAAGGCACATTGACAAAAGCTTATTTTGGGTCACTATAAAAATTGAACCAAAGCATTAAGCAATTTCTCTAGCATGATTGAAATAGTATAAAGAAAAAGGAAAAGGCTAAAGCTTTGTCATAAGTAAAAGATCATATGATGAATGAGCTATAACTGTAAACCAAAGTAGCTCACCTAAGAATTTCTGATACAACTCTCTAGAGATTGTTTCAAGGGTGAAAACGACCAATAAGAGCATCAAAAATTTACATGATCCGAAGATTATTATACAAATGAAAAAAAAAAAGGAATTAGTGATCAAATCTTTGATTAAATCAAGCAGTAATTATAATAATTTAAAGTAAGGCTCAGGTCTGTCAGCAAAAGTCAGACAGAGATAAGAGTACCGCTATGGCTGCAGACCCAATTACATTTGAATGGGAGAACGAACGTCAAATGCCATCAGGGTTGCCTCGCCAAGATACGACAATCAACTTAAAGCTTGAAATACATCTAAAGAAATCAAAATTGTATCATCATAGCCCAATTGTGAATAAAAATAAATTAGTATATTTATAACTTTCATCTGGTGTAATACTCCAGCCAGAAGGCTATACCTTTTTCCAAAAAAATTACCATCCATGCTTGTAATAACCTACAAGAAACAAAAGGAAACATGAAGAAATATTTAGATCAAAGGAAAAATTAAGAGAAAATTGCTCATGAATAGACACATCTATGCAAAAAAAATGAAAGGATAAACCAATATACACCCTTCATGAAGTGTCAGATTGGGAAATTCTTGACAACAAAAAAAAAACTTAAAATTTGAATGACCCAGCAAATTGTCAAAATCTTTAAACAAAGAAGTGACTATTGAACTCCTTTTGCACCCTTAAATAATTCTTTAGAATTGCTAACGTGAAATTGAATTTTCCAAATCATAGTTATGTTTATCCTATAGAACCCATTTAAACTTTGGAATTCTTGTGAGGACCCGAATTTTTATTTTATTTACTTTTATTTCATTTTACTAGCTTATTTAATTATTTATTTATCCGTTTACTCCGAATAATTTATTTCATTCATTTCAAATCTATTTGTACGCAAAAATGTCTCATTTATATTTTAAAAATGTTTCATTAGCGAATTTAATTTTTCTGTGACTTGCTTAGCGAGAAATAGTGCATGCACGTTTTTCGAGATAAATTCGGTCCGAGAGTGCAATAATCTTGGAGAATTAAGGATGATCATTAGTAGACTAAGAAAAGTTAATTGAAGGATTAGATGTAAGTGAGTTAAGTTAAACTCAATTAGGAGCACTAATAGCTCACTAATCAATCGTTGACTTTTGGGGCCAAGACCACCTTTATGTCATTTCTCTTGTCACTCAATCAAGTCACCCAACTACCACACAAACACTCTCTTTCTTTCCTCTCCATGGCCGGCCCTTCCTTTCCTCGTTTCCTCCCCAAAAATTTCAGCTAGCTTCTTCCATTGTTGCTCCAAGAAAGCTCTCCACACTTGCTTCTTGTCTTTGGTTTTCATACAAGGAAGAGGACTTGATCAAGGAAGAAACTTGGTAATTTAGAAGCTCAAGTCCCTAGTGTTTACTCTTCATTTTGGGCAGCAAGGTAAACCTCCATGAAACCCTCAACTTTCCTCTTCAATTCATAGTAGTAAGTTAGTAGTTAGTTAGTGATAGCAAGATAGTTGTTGGGTTGTTGATGGGTCCTCAAGAACCTTGACATTAGGTAGTGGACTTGAGGTGGCTTGATAGGTAGAGGCCTTGAGGATTTTGTATGTTTATTTGTTTGTTTGTTACTTGCATTGATGACATATGGTGTAGTTTGAGTTGGAAAGTTGAAAAAGAAAGCTAGAGGAAATGAGATGCTTGCTGGCCAAAAATTGCAGATTGTTCCTCTCTTATTAATTTGTAAATTTTGATGTTATTTTGGTGCAATAATGCTTGAAACATGTTGGTGGTTATGTGTATGAATTACCTTCAAAAAAGCTTTCCATTTGGTTGTGTTTAAGTATGGTTAAAGTGAGGCTGAATTTTGGAAAATCTCTGATTAGATGACCCCAACCAGTGTTCACGTTTTTTGTTATAACTCTCTATCTGACAATTGAAATTGATTGCTGTTTATGGCATCTGAAACTAGACTCTGAGAGCTTTCCATTGGTATAAAATGCACCCCCTAACTCATTTTCTATGAGCCGTAGCGAACTGGCAAAGATGACGGAAATTCCTCTTTGCTTGCATCCGAGAAACAGTTCTAGCTGTAGTTTGTAGCTCAATTTTGTCTATCTTGCAAAACGAATTTTATGATAGTTCCTTCTAGTGAAGTTTTCAACACTACAAACCACACTAAATTTCGAGTTGTGTAGCTCTAGTTATGATCAGGTTTTGAAACTCTGTCTAGTACATCAGAACTGGAATTTCGTAAAACAGGTTCCAACCTTCAGTTTTCTTAGAACTATTGTATCTTGGTGTAGAAAGGTCTGAATCGAGTTCTGTTTATTGCATTTGAAACTAGGTTTGGAATTTTAATTGTGGTATGAATTTCAAAGGCTTATTCAATTTCTACGAATTTTACCGAATTTCCAAACTTCACTGAATTTGCAAGCCTGTTTTCCTCTATCCTGTCTAGTATAGTGACTTTGAGCTAAACTTTGAATGACTTCAAATTGGAGTCTGAGAAAAGTGTTTTCTAGAAAGTTTTAGTACTTTGAGTCTAATTTCCAACGGTGTAAAGTTTCCAATTTTTAGACTTACAGAACTCGAGATACGATTTTTCCAAATAGGGTCGCACCAACCTGGAAAATTTCTGTTTTCAAACAAATGCACTTTTAAAGAACTTTCCACCTTTCTTTGCGATAGTTGGACTGTTTTAGGTGTAGTTTCATGGTTTAATACATGGTTCCTTTGGAGGTTTCATTTCCAATTTTGGTTTCCAAAGGTTAAATCTCTCTTGATGCAATTTCTTAGTCTTATAACTCCCTTGATTTGTAACGCCTTTCTTCATACTTGAATTAGGGACTTCAACCCTTACTCTTATGGTCTCAATTTCCGTGAGTTTGAACTCCAAAAAGGGAGTGTTTTGACTAGAGTAGTTCTTGGTGAATTGCACTAGTTTTATACTTGAACGTTGGAATCTTAGTCTTGACTTTTACTATGAAAATAAGTGGAGTTTTGGATGTGTTTGACTACATTAGTTTTGAAAAAAATATGAACGCTCCTTATATTCTAAAGTTTAGACTTGAGATTTGAATTTTTGGAAGATGAAAACCATCTATCCCTTTTTTTCTCGATTTTCATGTCGAAAGTAAAAATGGTACTTTCTCTTGGATTGAGATTTACTTACCAAGATTTGAATCAAGAACGACCTTTGAGCTCTCTTGAGCATTATTCCAACATTTTAGCTAGAAAAGCTTTTTTAACTTGACTCGAACTTGTGATTTTGAGAGTGGGTAGCGAGAAAATATCTTTCTTTTTTTTTTTAGCAAAATCCAAAAGCGGGTGGGGATGCCAATCCCCTACTTTATTAGAGTGAGAAGGAACATTACAAAGCCTACGTGGAAGAAAGACCTATGCCATGGAACAAAAAAGGAAGATTACTTTACAACCCAGGAATGGAGACAAGGAACCTCCTAGTGGTCCATGTGCATGGCTGCCTGAACAGCTGGCGGAAGCTGCCGGACCGAGAAGAAGATAGAGTCTCCTTGGAACTTTCCCCCTGCTATCTTGTTTGCACAACTATTCGCCTCTCGGAAAACATGCTGTACCGTGGATGACAAATCAGCTAATAAGCCCCGAGTTCAATGCAAGGAGTTGCACAAAGGCCATTTGGCTGTAGCACCAGACTGCAACAAACGAACCAAGGCCTCTGAATCGACCTCGACGAGAAGATCAGAAAGATTTCTATCCCTACAATGCAAAAGGCCATGCCATAAGGAGAGGGCCTCCACAGTGAGGGTGTCCACCTCCCCAAACTCCTTATAGAAGGCAAACACCAAACGGCCCGTGTGATCGCGAACTAGCCCTCCACCCGCAGCTCTTGCACCAGAGACGCTAGCGTTCGTGTTGAGTTTCAGTTTGTAGAGAGGGGGTCTTGACCAGGCCACCGCACAAACCTTGAGCCGCTTGGGCCGAGAATCTGCCACCGGAGTCCAAGGGTGCTCCAGATCTCCAATGCAATGCTCATGCAGAAGGACCCCAGCCCGACTCAGTTGCACTACAAAGTTGTCGATGTCATGAATGACCTGACGGGCTTGGAAGGGCGCACCATCATGCCACGCACGGTTACGCGTTTTTCAGAGAAACCATACGACAATCGCTGGCATAGCCGTACGAAGGTGGTTCAGCGATCCCGACCCAACAGAACCCAACCAAGACATGAACATTGTTGAGAGGGAGGAGTGCATGAGATCTAGAATGCCAAATTGCCTTTTGGACCACTCCCAGACCGCCAAGGCAACAGAACCAGAGAGGAACAGGTGACAGAGAGACTCCTCGTAAGAAGAGCAGCAATGGCACCGAGAAAGAAGGACTACCCCCTCCGACGAAGGGTAAGATCCAATAACAGGAAATTATGCAAGGCGCGCCACGCGAAAAATGTGATCTTTAAAGGTAGAAAGGTGCCCCACGAGAAAATGTCTTTCTTATTAACCTTGGTCAAGCACCTACGTAATTGTGATTATACATGTCTCAGGTGGTCACGAAGACACCGAAGAGCTCGTCTAACTACTCGCTTCACTCTTGTTGTATCCTTGACTTGTGGTGAGTGTCAAGTGCATGTTAAATGTTTATATGTTTGAAATGATATGTGTACAAGAACTATACATGATACGTGAACTTGCCGAGACAAGAGTGTATTTTATCGCCCTCGTCCTCTCTCTTTCTCCTGATTACATCATACATGTTAAATGAATATATGTGACTTATACTTGTACATGAACATGTTTAACTCGTAAGTACTGAACAGAAGCATGTACCACACCCTATTCGGGTGGGAGGTGCTTCTCATATCAACTCAGTGCTATGATCGATTCTCTGAGTGGAAGCATGTACCACACCCTGTTCGGGTGAGAGGTGCCCCTCATACCGACTCAGAGCCATAAACAATTCTAAATTGATTAGAGCGATGTCTCATCGACCACTTATACTTCTGGGGAGCACCCCAACCCATTGGCTAACCTCATAATCTCGAGCCAGCAAGGGCTTGATCGAGAAGGTTGGTGAACCTTGGAAAATATTATAACTTGATCTTTTGAGATCTCGCTAGGCATACTCGAATATTATTGCCTCTTTATACATGTTTGGTTTCGCATCCGAGTGGGTGTTAGGTGGATGGAGGAAGTAAGTGGAGCGCTACGGTCGTGTTACTACTTGGGTTGACGGAGGGTCAACCCCGATGGCAAACTGATCGAGACGTGGAGATAGCTCCTGAGAGCTCCTGTATCCTCCTTGTATGTTAAATTCCTACTTGTGCACTTGAATGAAATGTCACGTTAAAGTTTTAAACACATTATTTGATTGATTGGTGTTACGTGCTTGCCTATTTATTTTCTTGGCCTCATTGAGCGTTCGCTCATCCCATTAAGTTTGTTTTCCTTAACAAGCTTTGGAGGTGGATTGGAGGACCTAGACTAGCAATTTGGTGGAAGCTAGTATTTTTGTATGAACTTCTGTGACTCTTAAAGTGTAATTTTGTTACTTCTGGTTGATAGATTGTAATGATAACTTTTACCTTAGAAGTTGTGACTTGTATATTCGAAGTACTTCTTATTTAGTCGTTGGATGTTTCGTGGCTTTATATTAAGTTTGAACGAATGCATGAGTCCTGATAAGAGTTGAGCAGACGTCCTGCTGATACCTTAGGGTTCACTCTAGGGAGAGGTGGGGGCGTCACAATTCTAGGGTGATGAAATGCATTGGAGAATTAGTACTAGCCATAAAGTATAACAAACCATCCTAACTCTTTAACAAATATTATTAACTGTTGTACATTCCTACTTATATGAGAATCAATCATGAAAAGTGCAAGAGAAAATGATAGCATAGATATAGGATGATAGGATATTTCATTGATGAAGAGCTATGCTTTACCGATCTTATTTTGGTTTGCATACAGTCCAGAGGCTTAAGATCTTCCAAAAAATTTTGAGAAGACTGTCTCGAATTGGTACTTTCCATTCGCAAGGAAAAGATACACAGAGGACCAAGCTTTAAAAAAGTTATGGAAAAAATGATCATCTGTAAAATGAAAAGGAAAAAGAAAACCATGACCTCCAGTGGTATTGTCTTTCACAATCCAATAAGTCTATGATTGGGTAAAACTCATTTAGTTCTTTGTACAATACAATAGCACCAAAATTTGAAGTGTTTTTTGCAACATGGTCATAGTATGTATAAAGAAAGAAGGGGGAAAATGTCAAAACTATTTCAAAAATAAATATCATACATATTTGAGACAATTCAAAAGGTATCCACCATTTGAAAATAGTGTATTAGCAGCATGCAGATAATTAAGGACCTAAGGCTAAAATTAAAGAACCACTCTATCCAATAGTGACCATCCTTCAATCAAAAAGCCAAAGGAAAATATAACATTTTTAACTTAAAAATTTTACTATTCCACGAACTGGTTTTAGAATGATTGAATCTTGATTTGGTCACGTCTTTAATATGGTAAAGTATGTCAATAACATAACTGTGACAGCCCCACCTTCCCCTAAGGCGAACCAAAGAGGTTAGCGGACTGCCTGCCCAACTCTCGCCAGGACTAACGATGCAGTATAGAGCGATCTTTCACGTTCCGGAACTTATAACGAGCGCAAATAAGGCAAAAGGGCAAAATAACCCAAAATAAAAGAAAATGAAATCCGGAGTCGGCCATGAATAGTAACCGACTCGTCCGAACCCAACCAACATCGAATTACATATACCACATAACATTTAGCCTTTACAAACCAAAAATGACATTTAAAAGTGATACAAAAGTCACTACATATATGGTTTGCCAAAACAAAAGTGAAAACGGCCCTAATGATACATTTAGGGTCCCATTTTATATACAATACAAAAGAGTCATTCATCTAGTTCATTCGGCAACCATTTATCAAAATTCATTCCAAAAGAGTCATATTCCTGTAAGGAAAACAAAAGGAACGGGGTGAGCTAATTGCCCAGTGAGAATACAACTCAAGCAACCAAGTTCATAGATACATCAAGTTTAACAGTCCAATTTACCAAAATAAATAAAGCCACACATTAATAATGAGAATAAAAGGATACGGGTGGCTCTCAAGAGCCCTTTTCCTCGTTTGAATTCTTGATCAGGTCTCATTGACTCTCCGTCAATGTCTGAAAGGTAACCAACCGTAGACTCCTCTTAACTTCCATTCCCTTCCTCCTAACATTCCTCAACCGGGCCCGAAATCCAAACACTTGCATTGTGGTATTACTCGAGTAAACCGGAATCAAGAGTCTCTCATACTACAAGATTCCCTATGATGTTGCCCCAAAGCACATTAATTGGCACGACCAAGCCCTCGCCGGCTCGATTCAATCAATAACCAATGGGGTTGAGCTCATGGATAATATTTGAAGTCATGTATTTCATTTCATATAACATTTCATATAACTTTCCAATAACATGCGAAGCAATAAGTGAAAGTGATAAAGTACACTCTCACTTGGATCAATCAACATTCAACATCTCAAGTACAAAGATCAAAGCCATGTAATAGCACACAAGTGAGTAGTACACTCACCAAGCTAGCACAATGTGGTTTCAAACACTTTAGTCAAAAGAACGTTGTGCACCACCGTCACGCCCTAAAAACATGCAAACAAATACAATGAGACTCGATAACGAGTCATAAACCAAGGCCAAACATGACCCCAATAAGGTTCCATAAACCTTTACAAACAATAGAGGAAACCAGAAATTTCGGAAATGTAACTAGCATTGGCCCGGAAAAATACAGTTTTGACGTCATTTTGCGGTAATAGCACAAATTCCACTACGAGTATCGGATGAGGGTGCAAGACCCACCATCTCGAAGCTAAAAGATAGGGCTACAACAATGTAGAAGGTCACTCAGTCTAAATCCTAGCACAACTAGGTCAAATGTGCCAAATACTCAACCGGAAACACTAAAAACAGGTTTACAAATCACATAATGCTGTAATTACTATAACTCAGTCTATACAGGTCCAAATGCCGAAATTCCAAAGGCATATGTTAGCTAAGACATCCAGCTACATTTCATCAGAAGACACCAACTTCAAAATCCAAACCAATTCCAGTCAAAACAAACGATTACAAGCGCAGTTTTCACATTCTGAGCAACCCAGATCAGCAATAGTAAAATCGACATATCTCACTCCACACAACTCCGATTGACCTGAAATTTTGTAGGCACCTTTAAAATGTCATTCCCTACAACTTTCATGTTTTGAGCTAAGGCCAATTCGGCCTCTATCTAGTACCTAAAAATTCGGACAGAATGTACCCTTAAGAACCCTAGATTTTCCAATTTTCTTCCAAAACAGAAATTGGTTGCAATTAATCACTTTTCCCACCTCCTTAAGTCATTATAGACCATTTCCATACATCATAGATAGCCACACCATCATGCTTGAATTAAAACAGAAAATTCCCCAAAAATAATAAAAAGTCATCAATTCAACCACAAATCAAGAATTAATCCATAAATTTGCATCTTCTACTTCCACTAAGCATGATTTGAGCATCAATTAAAGAAGGAGGGTGGTTCTTCACAACTTACCTTTAAAACAAGAGAGAGAGAGCTATGGACCACCTTAACTTTCCAAATAACTTCACCAATCACCTCAAAATCACTAAGTGGAGGAGTTTTATGGAACAATTGGAAGATTAATCGGTTGATTTGAGAGATTGAGCAAGATTGGAGACCAAAATTGTGAAGAGTTTTCTTTCCTTTGAGCTTCAAGAAAGTCGGCCACCCTTGGAGGAATTTTGATGATTTTTGGGTCATTTTTGGTTATTTAAGTCAATGGTAAGAAAGTCTTAAGGTAGCCCAATCAAATGGTGACACTTGTCACCTTTAATTAAATGCTCACCTACCTTGTCTCCCTTATATCAATCCACTTAGCACTCTCTACTTATCTCTTAACACCCGATAAATTAATTCCAGTATTCAAAACTTAATCTAGTTGGCCGAATTTTTCCGGACTTATCGCACTAGTGGGTCCCACGTCCGGTATCTGCTCTTAATTTCTCAAAATCTATTTGATACTAGAAAAATCATCTAAAAATTATATCTGCTCCTTAAATTTATCTAGAAAAATTTTCGAATCACGAAAATGCAGAAAACAAGTCATGAAAAATAATAAAACTTAGAAAATGAAAATTACGGGTTCTCACACTCTCTCCCCCTTAAAAGAATTTCGTCCTCGAAATTTCTCACCATGGTTCACAAATAGCTCAGGGTATTGTTTTTTCCACCTCCCAGGTAGCCTTTTCTATCCCATGATTTTTTTTCTTCGCGAACACTATTCTCTCTCCTACCCAAACCCTACGATCCTTACAAACCATACCAAGACTCGAACGATGATTTTCCCCAAAGGATTACTACTTTCAGGTAGGCGTGATATCTATTTCGTCCATCAGAATTGGGACTGACAAATGGATGAGTAACACCGGGATCTACTAATGTTTCCGCAGAAATACCGTAATCGTACCTTTCTCAATCTCAGGAGAATCGGGGACCTGTTGTGGCTCCAGTGAATACACTCGAGCTGCTACCTTAGGTTTCGTTCCATTCCCCTTATCCGGTCCCGTGTTGGTCTTTGACATAGTTTGAGCTCCCCTCCCTTCTTGCGTCATAAGTAGGCAGGTAGCAAGCTTGTGGTCTGCGCTTCCACAACGCAGACATTTGCCTCCTTTCTTCCAGCAATTGTCTTCAAAATGATTCGACTTTCCGCAATACCCGCAAGGTCCGCGTGCTGCAGAAGCCGAGCCTCCTCTCTGGCCTCTCCCCAACTGGCTGCCTCGTGACGGGCTATCTCGTCACACTCCCGGTACCCTTTCTTCCCCAATTCCTCGCCCAAACTTGGAAGGGGTACTCTCATTCCCCTGCCCCGAATTATTTCCAGGAAATCCTCGCTTTTTCGCCTGGAAATTTCTTACTTGCAATCTGG